ACACGTGCTAGTGCGCCTGAACACACGTGTCCAAACGGGGGGGGGGGCACACGTGCATGTTTGAGTGTATGCTATGCATTATATGTGAACAAAATAGCAAACTCCTTAAGTTTTTTTTCTTTTAGCACCTTCAAATAGCTTAGATACCTTCTAAGCTCAAGACCTAACTACACCACACGTGTTTTTTTTTTTTCAATAATATTTAAAAGACACAGTTCAGAATACATGTAAAGTCCCACTAAGTGTTCTTAGTGAAGATACGGCCTGCCTCAAATACTAAGAGGGCTTAAGCATTTCATCATATATTTACCTTAAATCTCTCTCTCTCTCTCTCTCTCTCTCTCTCTCTCTCTCTCTCTGGTGGGGGACAGGATCTCATGTAGCCCAGGCTAGCCTCGAGCTCACAAAAATTGACTAAGAGCTTCTCATCCTGCTGCCTCCACCTCCCTGGGGCTGGAACCATGGGTGTGTGTCCCTACGACCGGTTATTTCAGTCCTGGGAGCCAACCACAAGGGCATGCTGGACAAACTGCTACCAGTTGACTGGCATTCCCAGGAATTCACCTGAAGTTTAGTGAAAAAGCATGATCTGAAATATTCCACATGGTACATCAAACCTTACTTCTTTGTTATGCATGCGTACATACATATACACACACATACATAATTTGCAGTATAGAATTTTCTGTTGTGGTCAGAGCCCTATAAGTCAAGCAGACTACTTTTGAATTCCTCACTGGATTTAATGATTTTCCTACTTGTCTGGCTAAAATTTGCTTCGTGTAAGGTGAAAACGGTACATGAAAGCTCACAGGGTCTGGGTGGCACAGGTTGGCTTGAGCTCCACTCCCAGGATTTCAGGAACAGCCAGAAAATATACTTTTCATTTTATTGTCCCCTTAAACTGACCCTTTGACTCCTGATGCCTTTCATCTCCGCGAGGATTCCCAGGGTTCAAGCCCACGCTCTTCTCTTGTGTAGGTGCCCATCTGTGTGTTTTCATCCCTCATTCTGAATCTGCGAGCACTTCAACATGTATCTTTTATAAACGCCATGTGTTATGACACCATGGTTAGAGTGTCCTCTGAGTCCTGGGGTCACCGTCTTTGGGCTGGTTATGAACCATCAGACTACAACATGACAGCATAACCGTTGTACATGAGTCACGGTACCACCTTTATTTTATAACCTTTCTTGTAATGTGCCTACTAGATAATACAATTTATGCCTACCGGCTACCAGAAATAGGGTAAAATATCAAAGTATAGTACAAAATTCATAATCATACATTTCTTACAAGCAAATCATTTATGGAATTATATGAACATATATGTATCATACATGTGTATGGAGAGATACGATTTCTGGCCAGATGGAAACCACAATATGCAGGCTTGACTTCCAAGGCAATCAGGTAATGCATATATTTTTCTTTTCCACTGTTTTTCTGTCCACTGAAATGAATTACTCTGAAAGAACACATAAAGGAGAAGAGTCAGTCATAGGGCTAACCAGGTTAAACCATGCAGGGTGCAACCAAGGCCCCAGGCGGGCCTCATGAGGAACAGAAATTTGAGTCTCTTATTTAGCTTTGTCCACCATTTGAACTCAAGAATTCTAAAGGATGTAATTGGGAGCAGAATGATTTTTTTGGTGTGTGGTGGAGTCTGACATAGTTCAACGATAAATTGTAATATCATTTATAACATTCTTGTGTTATGGATATAAATGATAATACTGCAAATTGTGCACTGTTGCATTAACTAGAACTATATGACCATCACTTTTATGTCATGCATTTTTACTCCTCCTCCTCCTCTCCTTCCCTTGGAATGCTGGAGGCTCACCTTGACACTGGAATCTTTGCTGTCCAGACTACTCTTTGGATTCAGTTTCGCTTTCAAATTGCCTATATAGTTAGAGACAGAGACAGTTTCTGAGGGACAGTGATGCAAGGTTGCTAGAGTGAGCTCATTCCCAAATTCTTTTGTTTTGTTTTTCGAGATGGGGTGTCTCTGTGTAGCCTTGGCTGTCCTGGACTCACTTTGTAGACCAGGCTGGCCTTGAACTCACAGAGATCTGCCTGCCTCTGCCTCCCAAGTGCTGGGACTACAGGCCTGCATCACCACCGCCCGGCTCCCACTAATTTTTTTATAAGATTAAAGCCTGATGGTTAAAAAAAAACCCTGAATATTCATCATATTAATCATTAATGTGTTAAGTACTCAGTTTCCACACAAAGAAAAACGTTAAATCTGAGTTACTAGCTACAGCTGCCTTGATGTTGATACCCCATTATGCCAACTAACTATGAAAGTAAGAAAACAGGTGTGAAATCCACCCACTCATCGCTCGAGAAGTCATCGGTTCTCCATTTTTTCCTTTGGGAATGAAGTTTTATCAGCATGGCGATCAGGACGCAGATCAAAACGTAGAAAGGGATGATCAAGAAAAATGGCCACCGTGTAGATTTGGAGCTGTAAGCACTTGCGATGGAGGGCCGCACTGGCAAAGAAATGTGCTGGGGGTTAGAATGCGGCCACCAGGACAAGAACACTGATGACACTGTGTGCTGCTGTGACCAACATCTTACCCCATTTACAAACTATCAGTAGCACATTTGTATCTGATGTAGATGACACGGTGGCGTCACATCCCCCACCCCCGAGCTCTTCAACTCCTTGGCTAAGAGTCTTGTCCCTGCTTTGCTTTTTGTCTATATCTTTTTGTTCGTTTTGTTTATGTGCGTTGGTGTTTGCCTGCATGTCTGTCTTTATGAGGGTGTCAGATCCCCCGGAACCGGAGTTATAGACAGTTGTGAGCTGCTATGTGGGTGCTGGGAATTGAGCCCCTGACCTTTGGAAAAGCAGCCAGTGCTCTTAACTGCTGAGCTGTCTCTCCAGTCCTTTGTGTCTATCTTTTTAAAGGATTAAAATCTTTTTTTTTTCATGTGCATGAGTGTTTGTCTACATGTATGTATGGGCACCATGTATGTGACTGGTGGCTGAGAAGACCAGGAGAGGATGCTGAATCTTCTGGAACTGGAATTACAGATGCTTGTGAGCCACCATGTGGGTCATGGGAGCCAGAGTTAGGTCCCCGACAAGAGCAAGAAGTGCAGTCAACAGCTGAGCTATCTCTCCAGCTCACATTCCTTGCTTTTCACTGGAGACTTTTCTGTTCCACATAGTCTCTGTTTGATCACAGAGACAAAAGGAATTGGCGCGTGGTCCTGGTTACCAGTGAGGTGGTCTCAAATTGTAAATTGTAAATTGCTTTACAAACTATTTTAGGTCTAAATTGTCTTATTAAGTCAAGTCTTCATATCCTTTCCTACAAACTCTTATTTCAACAATTCCTTTCAGAATATTTGTAGTTTTAGTTTTCATATTTAGATCAATGATCTGCTTCATACGGCATTAACTTCAGTTGGTTCATAACAGCCAGGGGGACCCAACATCTCTGGTCTCTGAGAACATCCGTACTCACATGTACACACACACAGACACACACACACACAGACACACACACACAGAAATAACACATACACATCATTTTAAAAACCTAGACACACTGTGAGTTCCAGGACAGCCAGGGTTATATAGCGAGGCCTTTGAGAATTGTTTTTTTGTTGTTGTTGTTTTTGTTTTTTTTTAAATCTGTTAGGATTTTCTCTCTGGTTAATTGTATCATACATAAAAGCAACATCGTTTCATCTTTTCTGTTCTTTTGTTCCTGTCTTGTTCTTTCCTTAGTTCAAGGCTCAGGACATAGGACATATACAGGATACGGAATACAGAATACGTATAGTGAGAGCAGACTTCATTGCTTTGCTCCTAATTTTATGGGGAAATAGATATTGCTCATCACATAATGTGTTGGTTTCAATTTTTTGGATGTCCTTTATCAAACTGGCCAGATCATTCTGTTAGTCTATTGATTGCTTTGTGGCAGGCGAGGAATCTCAATCTCAATTTATTGCTCCCTTGATTTTCTTTTTTCAGCACCAAGGATTGTACTAGTTTCTGCTTTAAGAACATCTCGTGGGCTGATGGTGGAGAACATCCGTAACCTAGCCCTAGGAGAAAGAGGCAGAAAGCTGGGAGTTCCAGCCAAGCCACACAACTCTTCCAATAGGACAGACCTGTTCAAGCTTTCTTTTTGCCTTTCCAGGTCAAAGCACACAAGATGAGGCAATTCCTTTTCTGATGACTGGGTGGAGGGCAGACAGCCTGGGTTCCCTGCTCTTGTCCTCAGGTACCTACAAAGACGGGGCCCTTTCTCTTCCTTGTCCCTTCCTCTTGGGAAGCTATAGTCTCCTCAGGGCCGGTGGAATGGTATCAGCTGTCTGTACAACCAGAGTCAGGGATTCTGACTCTTCCATGTTTCTGATCCGGCTTCTGGTCCACACGTGACTCTGGGAACCTGAACTCGGACAGAGTCGGTGGCAGCTGTCTTGGAGGTGGCAAACCCCTCTGGTCTTTGTTGGTGGTCAATGATCCAGGCATTGGGGTGGGGTATTAACCTTATCTTGTGGATCCTCATTGCTGATAGAGGCTGAGGTCTGCGACCAAAGGGCCACAGCCAAGCTTCTCTGGTCCCCACTGATAGCGTCCATAACCAGGTACTGTTGATGGAGTAACATGATTAAGAATAACGAAGATCTTGGAATCCTGTGTTCTCTTGTCCTCATGCGAAAGGCTGGCACCGGCTGCCAGGAGGCCATTGTAGGTGCAGCGATTATGCTAATTTCTCCAGGTTAGGTTAGTGTGGTCATAGGAAGAAGCCTTCCTGTGTCAGCCATGGAATCCGTATTAAAAGACAGAATGGCGTGATAAGCCTGGTCAGATAACTGGCCCTACGGGGAAACAATTTGGTCTTAAAGCTTTGTGCTTTACATGATAGTGTTTCCTTCATCTTCATATGGCCAGTGTGTGGTGCTGTGTCCTTCTAAAAGTGGCTTTGCACACTTCCAGAAACTTCTCCAAGTCTGTTGGTTTCTATGTAACTTCACGAAAGCATCAGGACCAAGCCCTCACTTTCCAGAGAGTTTGAGTCATTCTAGCAAGCGGGGGCAGCCGTGCTTCTCCAACTGAGAACTCACAGTAAAACAAAGTTGCTTGTGGGAACGGAGGTAAACAAACTGAAAAATGAGGTGGGGGGGAAGCTGATGTGGAGCTCTGTTGTACAACTTTCACGAGCACACAGTTTATTGGGGAGGATGCCACACTCTTCACAGGGAAGGCAGGAGCAATGAGAAAATCATCATCCTTCTGGATTTACTCTAAAGAGTATCTCAAGACTTTGGGCCTTGCTCCAGCTACTGTAGGCTGACTTACATAACGCTCCTAGTATCCTCCTCAGTGTGTGTATGTGTGTGTGTGTGTGTGTGTGTGTGTGTGTGCATGTGCGTGTGTGTTCAAGCGTGTGTTCTCAAGCTCGAGCATGTATGCTTGCTGCAGAGCTGGGTGGTAAGCACCTTTCTCATTTTCCTAACTCTTTATCATTTGTGCCCCTCCATGGATTCCAAGTCTGAGCCACCATCACATCTTTACGTGGGCTCTGGGGATCAAACTCGGGTCCTCCAGCTTGTGAGGCAAGCACTTTAATTCCCTGGTCTCACAATGCTCTAACTATGTTCCCTATTTGTCGGGGAGACTCACCGGGGATTGGCTGGGCTCGCTGTTGATTGCCACTATCAACGCTTCCACCAGGCCAGGAATCTTGCGTGTTTGTACAGTCTGGCGGTAAGTATGTGGGGTTACAATGGCAGTTTTTCTTGTTATTACACACCTGAAGACACCATAAAGTCACAGGCTAAGACAGGCGGCCAGGTTCATTTACACCCAGGAAATCTGTCAACTAAGGGTTATGTTAAGATAACAAGCACTTTCCTATGTGGCTTCCTTCTTGGGAAGGAGGAAAGAAGTGAGGGAGGGAGAGAGGAAGGAGGAGGAGGAGGAGTACAAGGAAGGAGAAGGGCTTAGGCCTTGCTCTCCTGAGCAGTTTCCACAGTTTCCCTTTCTCATTCACAGTTCTGCTACATACAGGGCTATTGGTGCGTTTTCCTTACTTACACCGTGATTGTTGCATTTTTCTGGGGTGCAATCATATTGCAAGAACGTATCCTCTATACATTCTTTATTCATGCAAACCTAGAACGGAAAGGTAAGTGATATGCCAGCCAGACTCATCCCTTAATTTAAAGCATTCCATACTCTCTTAAGAAAAAAACAGAACAACAACAACAACAACAAAAAAAAAACACCTTGAAATATCACCTCAGTCCAGTTACACTGGCTACTGACAAAATGACGATTAGCAAAACTGGAATTTAATTTTAAATGGCTGTTGTTAACAGTCTCATCAATCCCTAGAGGAAAATACAGATGAAGAACTAGAGTAGGTCTGGAGAGATGGCTCAGAGGTTAAGAGCACGGGCTGCCTCTTCCAAAGGTCCTGAGTTCAATTCCCAGCAACCACTTGGTGGCTCATAACCATCTAGAGTGAGATCTGGTGCCCTCTTCTGGTGTGCAGGCATACATGCAGGCAGAACACTATACATTATATATATATATATATATATATATATAATTTTTTAAAAGAACTAGAGTAAATGAGGACAATGACATAAAAACAAAAAAAAGTACACAAAGATATCAATTGTAAAGGGACAACGCAGAAAGTCTAGCTCTAGAGAACACACTAAGAAAGTTGAACACTTCACTGCATGGGCTGAACAGCAGGTGTGGGCAGGGGATGAGGTACAGATGAAGCTGAAGACTGAGTGTCTGAGTCTGTGGGATGGAGAAGAGCCAGAAGAGTGATCAGAGCCTAAGGAATGGAAAGAGAGCCATCAAGCTGGCCAATGTTTAGGCCATAACTGTACACTATTACTATTATTATTATTATTATTATTATTATTATTAATTTTGTCATCCTTGCCATTATACGAGGGGCCTCTGACCCACTGACTGGTGTTAATATAACCACAGACAGAGAAAACCCTGTTTTGACATTTTGACCTCTCATACCCTCAGTTACTGTCACACACACACACACACACAAAATTATCACCCAAACCTAATGATTCCAACTGGGCAATCCACCTGCTGGTCACGATCAGGGCAACAGCAGTTACAACAGCCTGTTTCCACAGGCGAACTGTGCCCCTACCACGTGATTTCTGCTGGATTTGTTTCTCTTGTATTTCATTCAGTTGATGGTTTAATTTTTATCTTGTACCTAGATGTTGCACAATACACTGTTTGATATACTAATGGAATTTAACATATTTCATTTGGAAAACAAAATTGTGGCTCTACCTTTGCATGTGTCTATTTTCCTTCTACACATAAAATATTACTTAGTTTTTAAAAGGAAATCAAATCTGACTTTGGTGATATGGAAGAACTCTAATGATAAGTGACATCACACAGATGCAGAACAACATCTACTTCGTGACATTACTTATGTATGGAAACTAGGAGGAGTGCAGAAACTGACAGAAGGCCAGCAGTGATGAGACAAAGATTCAGAGAAGTCATGTAAGCTTGTAGTACTACAACTTAAAGTGAAGGATGATGGAGGATGAGTAAGTCTAGGAACATAATGAATAGCATGAGGACTCCAGTCGATATTGGGTGCCTGAGGTGTTGGGGGAGAACAGGCCTGAGGGGGTCTTAACACATCACATGCATAGGGTAATGCATGTGAAAGTGGAAATCACAAGCATCTGTCAGACACGTGATACACTAGTTTCATTTCTGTGGTGATAAAGCGTCCCAATCAAAAACAACTTCGGAGAGGAAAGAACTTGTCAGGTTTACAGTTCCTTGCTGTGGTCCATCACTGAGGGCAGGAACCCAAGCAGCCAGTCACCTCCCATCCATAATCAAGAACAGGGAAAACTGAATACGTGCAGGCTTACATGCTTAATTGCTCCTCTGCTCTCAGCTGGATTTCTCACTAATACTGTTCAGGATCTCCTGCCTAGGGAATGCTGCTGCCCGCAAGGGCTGTGCCTTCCTCCGTCAATTAACAATCCCTTATAGATGCTCTTGGACCAATCTGATCTAGATATTTCCTCAGCTGAGACTCTCTTTCCAGGCAGCAAATTGACAGTTAAAACCAACCATCACATGCTAGCTAAATTGATTTTTTTTTTTTTGCTTTACTCTGTGAACCTTTTATTATTTAAGAATAACCACACCAAAAGATAATCCACATCAGAAGTGCTCTCTTTCTGCAATGTTTTGAAAATACAACAAAATGCAATGGGTGAACCGTGAGATTGTCTCTTCTGGGAGTTTGTGTGACTTCTACCGAGAGCGTGAGGTATCCACAGCAGTAACAGCTGTGCAAGTTCAATGGCTTCATTTCATTTTGTTCTTTGAAATTTGTTCTTATTTTCCAAACTTCTATGTTGACTGCACACTTACATTTTGAGAGAACATGTTTGTTTGTTTTGTTGTTTTTAAGACCTTAGTGTTCTGCCTGCATGTACACCTACACGACAGAAGAGGGCACCAGATCTCACTATAGATGGTTGTGAGCCATCATATGGTTGCTGGGAATTGAACTCAGGACCTTGGAAGGAACAGCCAGTGTTCTTAACCTCTGAGCCACCTCTCCAGCCCCAAGAGATCATGTTACTAGGCATATATACCAATAAAGACATAAGACAGAACACTGGGAGTTACTGGGAGAGGTTGGTCACCTACCTTTTTTGCGCTGCAGACAGTACCATCTTTCACCCACATCATCGGACTCTCTACATGACCTTCGGTATATTCCAGGGAGATGCAGATTGCCCCACTTATATTGGCATAAATAACAGTGGCAGATCTTATTTTAATGATATTTTCACTTCCATATCTACATATTAATTTCCCACACCTCAGGTCACTGTAATTTACAGATAAACATAAGCCATAATTTTAATAGAGAGATACTTGAATGTGATGTCAAAAACAAATAGACTTAAATTAAGCACTGGGGCTGGCAGGAAGAGGTATGCAATTAGTTAGGAGTGACACATGCTCAGAGTCCTTCCCAGATTGCTAACAGCTATGAACAGCTTCATTGTGAACTCAGCGGTTATTTGGGCTACTGTTTGTGATTTTTTTTTTCACCTGTATTTGAACCTTACTCACAATAAAACTGTGTTTTAATACAAAACCACATTTTTTTATAATCTTTGTTTTCTTTTTAAAAAATTGCAAAATTCTCAGTACAACATGGGTGTACAGAGGAGATATACAAACCACAAAAGATGGAGCCAGGACACTGGCACCTTCAGCAAATCATATCTGCATACAAGACACATGCGTGTATATGTAAGCATACATGCACACACAAACACACGAGAGAGAGAAGAGGAGAGACAGAGAGAGAGAGGCAGGGGGAGAGAGCGAGAGCACGCATACTGTGTGACGCTCACGTTCAGCAATCATCCCATCACCCAGCCAGTATGACAGAGCAACCCACCCTCATCTTCCCTCCTCACATACGTAGTAGAACACACAGACATGGAGTTGCCCCAGCTTCATGAAAACATTTTTACAGCAAACATTTCCTTCTGACACCCTTGAAAAAAGCCCCCAACACAGGCCAAATTCTAGGGGATGTCTCTAGGGTGCCAAAACTTCGGTGCTTGCAGGTGGCCCTGGGGGACGTCACCGTATGTCATAAACACCATGTGTTTGTACTGTTCCTGTACATGCCCCTGGTCATGGCCTTACAGGCTCTTCATTAGTATGTTTTCTTTTCTTCTCCTTTACCTGTATAAAGAATGCCCGGTCCTTGGCTGAGATGGCTCAGTGGTTAAGAGCTCTGGCTGCTCTTCCAGAAGACCTAAGTTTGAGTCCCATCACCCAGTGGGTTAACTCACAACCATACCCCCTCTCACATGAGATGTGACAGCCTCTTCTAGCCTCCTTGGGTGTCAGGCATGCAAGTCACACACAGACATATGTCCATACACATAAAACAAAAATTTACAGAAAAAAAAGCTTTGTGTGTGTGTGTAATGTGTATGTGTTGTGTGTCTGTGCATGCACTTCCCTGTGCGCATCTGTGTAGAGACCATAGGTCAATGACAGGTCTTTGTCCATCCAGATCTGCCTCATTTTTTTTTTTTTTTTTAAGGCAGGGCCGCCTGACAAACCTGGAGCTCACCATGACAGCTAGACTGGCTGGCAGAGAGTCCACTGTTCTCCAATAGCAGACTGACAAATGTGTACCGTCACACCTGGCTCTTACGTGGGCACTGGGGATCTGAACTCCAGTCCTCATGGTTGAGTAGGATGCGCTTCATGCACTGAGCCATCTCCCCAAGCCAGGATTGTTTGCTCTTTGTAAAATTACGGAGACAGCATATAAACTTTTAAAAAACTGAATGCTTACGACTGACAAGTGGACCTCCGCAGAGATAAAACAGAGTGGCAAAAGACAGAGAATAATTCAGGCCCAGTCAAAGTCCCAATCAACTGGGACAGCAGCCTGGGTGTGTGGGAAATGACACGGAGCCTCTCTCTGCACCTCTGACATGTGTTATTAGAATTAACGTGTCAGGCTTCATGGCCACGTGTGAGTTTGCTTCCACCTGAAAGTAACTGGTGACATTTTCAAGTGTGAGGTGACAGAGTCTGGGCACATTTCAGGAGACATACGTAGGTCTGCAGGCTGTGTACCCGGTAGTGCTGATCCCACAGTTCCCAGATATGTCAGTTTTGGAATTCAGCTCTTTGTAGCATTCATCTGTACCAAAGTCGGCATCTGGAAATTGGGTAGACAGACAAAAAAGTGTTGGTCGTTCTGGAGGTTTAGTGTGCAGCATTAAAATAAGGAGCGAACGCTTTCACATTCTGAAGTGGTTCAGAACGCACCACACAAAACACAACCGTCACATAGAACTGAATAGAAGGCAGATGGGGGATGGCACAAAACCCACTTCAGTGAAGTACTTGAGATGTGACGTGGTCTACACAGTGCCTAATGTGTAATGTTAACAACCCCATACACGTAAAGGGAAAGCTAGTCTTCTAAACAAATAACAGACTCACTGGTGAATAAAGATAGACTTTTTTTTTTTTTTGCATAAACAGCTTTTCAACCAAAACACTCACCAATTATTTTGTCTCTGATTTTTCTAGCTTCAATTCTCCCAAGATCCAAACTACTTAGAGAACAGTTTCTGTTTTCAACCTCCATCCGTTCTACTCTTGTTGAAACCACTGACGGGGACCTTTGACCACTATCCCTGTACAGCCGCTGGGTGCTCAGTTAGTGAACACAAAGTTAATGGGTCATCTGCTCTCAGAATTCATTTGCCAAGTTGGTTGTGGGTAAGAAATAAGGATTTTTGAGCTTGGTTAAGGCAGTAGATTGTTTGTGGACCAGAAAGCAGGCAGACTCAAAGCAGTTCATAGCCACGGGGACAATATTCGACCCTTCATTGGCTCCTTTCCAGCTTCCTCCTGCGAGGAAAGAAGGGCAAGAGAGGAACTGGAGTCTGGAGAACTGGCTTTGATTGCAGCATGGGTTCACACCTGCCTGTGTGTGTACCAGCGCTCAGCTGAAAACCCTAGAGACCCATGGATGAGACATGATGTCCGATGAAGAGCAATTATCAACCAATATCCAATGAATCCAGAAGAGTGGCCTCACCTTTCAGGTCATAGCAGAGTAAAAAGATGGGCGGCCCCATCTGCAGGACATGCAGTCCACAGACAGACCCTTCCAACACCAGCTGCGGAAGAGGAAAGCTGGGGCAACAACTCTTAACTAAAGATATGTCTCCACCTGCAATGTCACTCAGGAATAAACAGAACAAAGACAGCTAGCTGCATGAAAATGACCGAGTAAGTATCTTGATATATACACGGGAAAATATCACAAGGATACAATCCACAAGAAAGAAAAAAGCAGCTGAACTAGGTGGAGTGGAGAGATGGTTAAAAATTCTAACTGCTCCTTCAGAGTTCCCCCCGCCCCAACGTATCAAAAAACAGAAATGGAAGACATTCTAGATGATTAAATAGAAGCACATGCTTGATTTTTGAGGTGTGTGTGATAATGTAACACTTAGTTCCATGACACTCGGAGACCGCTAAGCAGACATTCGCAGCTGGGCCAGCATGATGGCTCAGCGGTTAAAAGTAATTGCCATGCAAACCAGACCAGATTTCCATCTCGAGAACCTACAGTGGGAGGAGGGAACTGGATCCTGAAAGTTGTCCTCTGACCTCCACAGGTGTGCACATCTGCATGATGCATCACACACACACACACACACACACACACACACACACACACACACACAC